ATCTATCTATCTATCTATCTATCTTAAATCTATACTATCTATCTAACTACCCTACTACCTACCTACCTACCTTGCATGACGACCCCATGCAAGCAAGCCCAACCCCTCTCACCTCGTTGAACTTCAGCCCAGCATTACACTTGAAGGAGAACCTCTCGCCGCCGTCGGTGCAGTAGTGGAAGACGCTGCAGCCGAAGTCCATGTCGCCGAAGTACCCCTGTCGGCCCGTGCACTCGAACCTGACCACAGGAAGGGCGGAGTTGAGGGACCGCCAGCTTCTGACCTATGGATGCGAGGTCGGGCCAGTCTGAAAGGTAAAAGGGGGAAGTGAGGACGTCGGGATCTTTGTAAAGGAAGGATAGATTTTGCGATGTAGGTTGGTGTGTTTTGTTTTTTTTTCTTTTCCTTTTTTCTTTTTCTCTCTTTCTTTCTTTAATTTAGAGTATATTTTGTGATTCTGAATTATGTTTTTTTAAGAATATTACTTTGTGATTTCGAATATCTTAGTAACAGTTGTTTCAAGAGACTGCTTTGTAATTCTGCATATTTAGAATATCATTTTGCGATTCTGAATAATATTTTGAGGAATCCTATTTTGTGACAAAAAAAAAGAAAAAAAATGAATAATAATACTTGGTCAAATTCGAGTAATAGTTTGGAATATTGCTGATTTCGCATATTTTAAAGATACTCCTTTTGATTGCACATTGTATTAGGAAGAATACAACCGGTGAATTTATATAGAATTTTGAAAAATGCATTTCGAAGAATGAATAGTTTTCTTTCTCCTTCCACATCTATCTATAACTGAGCTACCGATTATTAAATAAAAAAAGAATGGAAAAGAGAAACCAAATAACAGCAAATCAGAAACTAAACGTTGGATTCTCTTTTTGCAACAAAGATTACGTAACACTGATGACGAGTTAATGACACACGTGATGAGAGCGAGCATCAGCTGTTACGGTGTGAAGTGACCCCGAAATAGATTGTCTTTTTTCTCTATTGCTCTTTTTTTTAACGAATGGCAAATGTGTCAGATCCAGCATTAACATGTGTGATAGGTATGTGACGCATATATATCAAGTTTTTTCATATTCGCTATTGTAAATCACCAAAAGAGTAGAAAGAGAGAGAGAGAGAGAGAGAGAGAAGAGAGAGAGAAGAAAGGAGGAGAGAGAAAGAGAGAGAGAAGAGGAGAAGGAGAGAGAGAGGAGAGAGAAGAGAGAGAGAGAGAGAGAGAGAGAGAGAGAGAGAGAGAAAGAGAGAGTGCAGAATTGGGTGCCCTTTATACAGTATATTCAGATATTTGCATGCTGCACTCATGCAAATCAACAACAAATACATTACGTATTACCGACGCACCTATGTATATCTTTCAATCACACACTACAAAAATATACATAATTACGTACTTATATGGCCTTTATTATACCATTTATTTTATTTACGATACATATCATCCTTCCCACACAGGCATTACATTATTCAAGAGCTTCCCCAAAATCCATGCCATGACCTGTCATTTATTGCATTAGTTTTATTACCAAATAATCCATATAGGTTTATAGATGGTATATGCTGTTGCGTTTTGTCCGGAGGGTGTGTGTGCCATGTATGTGACAATGTATATCTAATATATAATGTATCTCTCTCTCCCTTCTCTCTCGCTATATATATATATATATATTATATATATATATATAGATATATATATATATATATATATTACTTAAAATATATATTATTTATATATATATTATATATATAACATATACATATATATAAATTAATATATATATTATATATATATATATTATACATATATAATACATATAGTTATACATATATATATATATATATAATATATATATATATATATATATATATATATATATATGTAACATATATATATATATAATATATATATATATATATATATATATATATATGTAATATAATATATATATATATATATATATATAATATATATATATATATTATATATATTATTATAATAATATAATATAATATATATATATATGATAATATATATATATAAATAATATAATATATATATATATATATATATTATATGATATATATATATATTATATTATATACATATATAAATACATATATAATATGCTATATATAATATAATAATATAATATAATATATAGTATTACTATATGCTATATATGTATAATGTATATATATAAAACTTATATATATAATATAATAATATATATTGTGGTGTGTGTGTGTGTGTGTGATGTGATGTTGTGTGTGTGTGTGTGTGGGTGTGACTACTCGTGTAGTAGTGTGTGATGGGTGTGTTTAATGAATGTGACATTGTGTTTGTGAAAATGTGTGTGTGTGTGTGTTTGTGTGTGTTGTGTAGTGTGGTGCGTGTGAGTTGTGTTGACTCTCCTTCTGAATGTTCATATTCTTGTTGATGAAATGATATGATAATAATGACTATATTGATCCACAACTAAATCACCACACCAACAACCATCACAGTCAAGCGACCATCAGCAC